CTCCCTTCCTCCCTCCCTCCCTCCCTTTCCCCTCTCTCAGTTCTTCCACTCCTTTTTCTTCTTCTCTTCCTTCATTTTTCCTTTTTCTTTCTCCTTTCTCTTCTAGCACTTTTCAAAGCCCACAAGAACACCCTAAGGGGATTCAATGGGTTGGGTTGGGGTTATAATCAGCACTTAAAATAGGCTTCTCATTTTCAACCTTACTGCCCCCTACCCTCAGCCAATAAAAAGATAGGAAACCCATATGGAATTTTCTGGACTGAGTATTGTGACAAATGTATATAGCTGGCTTTCCCTGCTCCCTTCCATCTGTGTATGGCCTTAACAGCAAACTGAAAAAGTCTTTCATCTTTAATCTAATCATCTCACTTTCCCATGGGAAACAGCCAATGAAGCCTAAACCTACTTACCAACTTTTCCTAGGCCCATGCAGCTTACCACATCTAACGTTAAAAAAAGTAAATTAGTGCCGCTATGAGTCACTAAGGACAAACAGCATTCCTGAAAGAAATGAACATCACGAGCAGAAACACATTAGTACTTGCTTTGAAAACGCTGTAAGTCCCTGTAGACCTGAATGGAATTTAGACCCGAAATTCTCCACATCTCTAGGATACCTTCTGTTTTCGGTTCAGTTCCCTGTATATATGACCCTCTCCTCTACATTTTTATCATAATAAATTAGCATCAGAAATATTTCTAAATTTTTGGCACGTCCCTTAACATTCTCCATTAAATTGTTGTTGCAAGATTGAGAGTGGCTAACTATAATTTTTTTTGTTCCAATGGCTTTCAGTTTGGAAGCCATGACCAGCACATTACCTCATAACTTAGCATACGAGAGAGAGAGAGATAGAGAGAGAGAGAGAGAGAGAGAGAGACAGAGACAGAGACAGAGACAGAGACAGACAGAGAGACAGAGAGAAGAGACTAGAAGAGGAGTCTCAGAAAATGATATATGACAACTAAACGTGATGAAATCCAGGATGAGATGTCCTAGAACATAAAGAAGAAGGCATGTTAAAACTAAAGAGCTCAGATACAAGGTGACTTTTAGAGACTAATAATACATCAGTATTGGTTTATTAAAGTGAAAGGCACAACTTAGTCATGTAACATGTGAATAATGGAAGAAATCTGGAGTGTTGTGTATAGGAACTCCCTGCACAGTTTTTGTAACTTTTGCATATCTAAAAGCATTTTTAAAGTAAATTAAAATAATAATAGAAAAGGCAGTGGCTAGCTGGACATGGTAGCCCATACCTGTAACCCCAGAAAAAGATCCTAAAACAGGAGGATTGGGACTTAGAGTCCATCATGGGCTAATAACAAGTTCTAGACCTGCATGGGCTATATAGCATGAGCCTGTCTCCTCATAACAAAACAAAAACAAACAAAAGGTAAAGACAGTGGCTGATACTGATGATTCAGTTCCATTTCAATCACACTGAAGAAGCATAAAGCCATAAAATGAAGATGAACATTTGGAGGTACGCACAGAGAAGCAGACTAATGAAATGCTTGGTGATTAAGCTAAGCTTGCATATTACTGTTCCCTAACTGGGTCCAGGGAGAGACAATAAAGATCTGTGAAATTTACACAGAAATCTGAACAGAGTCCAAATTACCAATTGCCAGTGAACCTGCCCAAAATCGAACAGGAAATTCAACCCAGAACATTTTCCTGTCTTTAGAGAAGGAGGAGTTTTTATTTTTCTTCATTTCTTTTATTTCCTTAAAAAAAACTCTGAGTAGGTAATGAAATGTTTGAATCAGATGGAAGGAATAAAATGGGATAAATGGCACAAAACCAAACATGGGGTTGGAGCCGAAGTAAATTCTGGCTGTGATAGGAATTCAGGCCTTTCCAACATGCATCTGAATGAAGCAAACTTCAAAGTCAAATACATGGGTGTGAAACACCATGCAATGAATGAACATAGGCTGATTAGTTTTCCAGAACTCCACGGAGCATGGTATTTCAGGTCAGCTGCTCCACTTGATGCAGGCGTGAGGCTCAAAGCAAGCATGATAAGGATATTACCAATACTCTCCGTAATCTAGTAGGCTCACCCCTCCAAGATCCACAGTCACCCCTTTGGATTTTATTTTAAAAAAATCTCTTCTGTCTCCTGGATGTAGGGGAAGATGGTTTGATCATTGAATGTACTTTTGCCTGAGTGAAGAAAGCATCTCAAGTCCTTTTTCTGGAAAGGAATTTTTCATATGAAAAAATCTTATTTGAAAAATTCAACATAGAATCCATTAAAATCTGAGTTGCCCTGGATGGTGATGGGGACAGGACCCAGAGTCACTCATTATTGATTATATTTATGTATATACTTAATTTAAGCACATAAAATTTTCACCATTTAATAATATATAATATATAATTCTACTTTCCATTTGCATAATTGGTAGAAAAGTTTCCTTATCCCAGAGAACCCCAGATATTAAAGTGTTTGGAAATAGAACTGAAGATAAGAGAAAATGTCACACAGTGAAAACTAGATAACGCAGAAATGTGCAGCTCTTCATCCATCCCATTTCCTCCTCCCAGGAACCCAGAAGTGTCAAGTATTTCAGCTTCCCTTGAAGTTAGTTAGGAGCAAGTAATAGTTCTGGCCAGTAGAATGCGTGGAAATGTTATGTTCCTCTTGCAGGCCCAGTCCCTAAAATAAGTGTTTCTTGTAATATTTCTCCCTCTCATTTCTCTCTCTCTCTCTCTCTCTCTCTCTCTCTCTCTCTGTCTCTCTCATTTACCTGAAGGTAAGAATAACTAGCTGACTGTTACAAGATGAAGGAGACCAGATGCCTGTGTTTCTACTTCAATAAAAATGTCCAAGAAAGCCATTTTGCCAGCTTCACACTATGATATGAACAAGAAATAAAAATTTCCTGAGTTAGGCTACTAAAATTTGAGGGTTAATTTCTTACCATGGCAAGACTTTAACTATTCTGATTGGGCAGAAAATTGTTCTGATTGATCAGAACACATGAACTTCTAACCTTTCTTTTATTATTTGAGCATTTTAAATTTGGCTTAAAGGTTAAATTTTAGCCTGAGTCTCTCAAATATCATTGATCCCTCCTTAAGTTTATTACTAGAAAGAGTTTTCTTTCATGAATTTTATCAGAATACTAAAGTAGTATGTAACCCATCCAATGTCCTTTATGCTTTGGATACTAGAAATTGGGAAAAAATTATTTTATTGCAATAATTGGTTTTTCTCCGTGGACTGTTTTTGGCTGACCCTATTACATGGGCTTGATTTTCTACGTGTTTGCTTATAATTTGTTGTGGGCATTTTAATTTTTGAACCACTTGATCCATTTTGAAAAAGAGGATGGTATAAACAAATATTTTAAGAGAAATAATGCTAGCAAAAAAAAAAGAAACGTATGTTAAGAACTGTCCTTAAAGGAATATTTCACCTACATGATGTTAAAAGTTGTTTATTGATGGGTTTAGGTGGACATCATATCACATTAAATGAAGTTGTATGGCACTTGCTGATGTACTGGAGTAACTGTGTGTGAGAAATTCAGGCTCAGAGCTCTGAGAAGGGGCACATGGATTGCTATAGTCTCAATGTTGGTGACCTCCAAAATCCATATGGTGCGATCTAGCCCTCTATGTGTTAGCATTAAGAGGTAGAGCACTTGGAAGTGGACTGGGTCATGAGGGTGGAACCTTCATGTGTAGAATGAGTACTCTTATAAAGGGGCCTTGGGTGCTTTTTTTGTTGTTCTTTTATGTGAGGCTACAGTAAGAAAATACTGTCTGTGAGGAATGGTCCTTACCAGATATGGAACCTGCGGGCACCTTGATCTCGCACTTCTCAGCCTCTAGAACTGTGAGAACTAAACTTCTGTTATTTACAAACTAACCAGTATTTGTTGTGTATTACAGCTGCCCAAACAGATGAAGACATGGGTGAATTCAAATAGCTGTACTGTGCGTGGTAAGCACATGGAACACTTTTGACACAAGACACCTACATTACCAGTGGTTATCATGTCTTCCAGCCCCAAAGTGCATTTCTGAGTTCTCATCCTGGAAAGGAGTCAACGGTAGCAAGAGCAGCGCTGGGGCTGCAAGTAGAATGACCACACTGTGGCAGCAGCAGGTCAGAGGGATCCGTTCACCAGCCCAGGTCCATCACAAAGAGACTCCTCCAGCCACGGTGGCAGCACACTGGTCCTTCTGGAACATCTGGGCCCCCAAACTATTTCTCTAGCTTCATGAGTTCCTACCACAATGAAAGTACAAGATTAGAGCGATCTCTGTGTGGTTGGATTAAACCGCTGGAATTCTTATTGAGAAGGAGGGAATCTGGAACTTAAACATGTTTATGCAGTAGTAAGATAGACACTCAGTCATTTTAACTTGAATAAAGAGATTCAGCTTTATTGTTTTCAAGATGGTAGGGCATTAGTCAATTGTAAATGTAAAGAGAGTGACTATTTCAAAGGGAGACATTCATAAAGTGCGTTAGCATGAATTCACATGAGATGAATTAGATCAAGTTTTAAGTTTTAATAGTGTAAGTGACAAGTATTATGTTCTTTGTTAGGTATATAAAATTAATAATACATATCTCATGTCCATAAGAAGGTGATATTTTAAAGCAAGATGTAACCAGATTGTAATAAATAAAATTTGGAAGAATTGTTAAAAAAAAAAAAAAAAAAGAAACATTCAGTGATGGTCTCTGGGCCATCAGCTGATCTAGAAATGTTTAGTATTGGCAACACCTGTTCAAAATATTTTGCTCAAGGCCTGCCACCAATTCATAAACTAAGCCTCTGAATAACATTGGTTTGAACAGAATCAGTGACTCTTTTCCTAATGGCATAAGATGGCAAAGATGCTCAAAAAGTGGCACCTACATCATACTCTTACTTAATCATTGTCACTTTGGTAAAACCAAAGGTTGAACTTACCAGTGTTTGTGCTCTGGTACCCTCTACTGAAGCAACTTTGCATGACAGGAGGCGTAAGTGGAGGTTCTGGATGGAGGGGAGGCATTTCATTCTAGAGTCAAATGTGATCTGGGAAAATGAAGGATGAGATGTTTCCTATATGTTCAAAATTATGGAGCAAATGCAAACCTATTACATGCATATGCACTTTGTTTTGCTTTTAAGGAAAACTGCCTAGAATCTTTCTCAGATTCTTAAAGGTTCCTATGATATACAATGGATTCAAAGCATCTACTTTAGAAAGTAGAGACTGCAGCTGGATTTCCTGAGATGAGGATTTATGAGCCAGTGATTTATGAAGAAAGTACTTCTAAAAGAGACTGGCACAGGAGTGGGTGAGGCTGCCAGGAAGGGGAGGAAGCCAAGCAAGGTCTCAGGCCACACAGGAAGCATCTGCCTGATGCTATCGGGTGCTCTACACTTAAGTCATACCTCTGAGCTGTGGGTGAGGAGAGGCAAGCTGGGCTTTGTAAGTCTTTCACTTCTGACCCTTCATCAAAGGCCATGGTAGGACCTAGAGACTAAAATCTCAAGCACTTCAGACTGAAAATCTCTCAGAACAGGCTTGGACATCCTTAAAACAGTTCTCCCAAGAGCTTCAAATGCAGTGAATCAGAAACAAATGCACAGCATGGGAGCGGGAGAGGGTATGCTCTGAGGGGATCTGAGTGAAAGCCTCAACGTTGTCCTTTCCCCCACCACCAGAGCAGTATCCTTGAAAATACATTTTCCTTGGGGCTGGAGAGATGGCTCAGTGGTTAAGAGCACTGACTGCTCTTGCAGAGGACCCGGGTTCAATTCCCAGTACCCACATGGTGGCTACAAACTGTCCTTAACTCCAGTTCCAGGGGAATCCGAAGCCCTCTTCTGACCTCCGTGGCATTGCACGACACGGGTACACTCACATACATGCAGGCAATACACTCATACATATAAAATAAAAATAATAAATAAAATATTTTAAAAAATAATACTAAAAAAAGAAAATACATTTTGCAACCAAAAGGACAAGGAGTTGAGCATGGGAACTTCAGGGGAAGAGGAGATCTAGCAGACAGCCGAACCTACAACAGGGAGATTATAGGTGTGTCATGGGGAGAGCCTCCCAACAAGTCATTAAGTCCAGCCCATCTGCTCAACCTACTGTTCTAAAATCTGTGGGTCTTTCTCCCATTGTAGCTCCTAAGTAGCCATTCATTCATGCCAGTAGCTCTTCATTCAAGTCTCTAGCGCTGGCCATTGTGCTAGGCCTCCCCCCCCCCCCTCGCCTTACAGTCCTTTTTCCAGCATCTTTCCTTTCCTGGGTCACTTCACCAGCACCTTTTTCATCTATAATGTTTTTCTTTTTGTTTCCCTCCTAACCCAGCCATGCTTTGCCCAGTGGGTCTCCTTTATATAACTGAACATACTCATATAAGGTGCATTCTGACAGAAAAGTTCTCTCCCAGATTTGAAGTTGACCACGCTTCATGTGTGATCTTCATTCAATTACCTAACTAATAGATATGTAATATGTGCACACTCATTTGTACACAGAGAGAAATAGATGTGCACAGAGAGGGCATCTTGTCCATGGTCATTTAACTTGGGTCATAAAACCAAGACAAGAACTTACATTCTTAACTCTTTCTTCAGGATTCTGTACTTCCTCATACCCGGCCTCCCAAGTGTTCAAGCATTTTATTTCAACAGTAATAAATATAAAATACTTTCTTAGGGAAAGCAATTTAAGCTAAGTGCCAAATACATTCCATAGATACATGGAAACAAGTTAGCGTTCATTCCAAAATAAAGGAAAAGAGCCTTCTCAAGTAGTAACAGATGATTCTAGGGGACTAGGGAGGACTGTTTAGAAGGACTATTCATTTGAAAAGCTTGTGGCTTCAATAATTTTCTTTGCTCAAGTTTTAGAATATGGTCATTTCACCAAAACATTTTATTGTGGACCATGAAATTGAAAGGGATTTCAATAAGATAAATGGATTTGTTTTCCTACCTTCAAACAGAAAGGAATGTTTTTATCCCCATTGCTTGAGAAGATGGGTAAAAGAAAACATGGTCCTGGCTCAAGGGCAACTTCAAGTCCAGGTCCTCTGCTGCATCATCCTCTGGAAGCCCCATCTAGCTTGGTCCCTTGCAGATGACAGCCCATTATTCACTAACATGTTGCTTTGTTTTATTCTCCAGCAGCCTGTGTGATAAGTCAGTCACTGCCTTGCTTTACAGACAGGTGAACAGAAGCTTGGGGACATTAAGCACCTTGCCAAAAAGCAGCACCCTAGTACGTGATACAGTACACACTAAAGTCTAACCTTTTACCTCCAGACTGCACACCACACTCTGTCTTCACCGTGTTGTCCAGTTACTGTCAGCACTAGAGGAGGCAAGTTTGTTGATACAATGGTTTGACTGTTACAGAATAAAAACAGAAAATGTGGCTAAAATGTGATGTGCTTCAGGTAGGACGTTATTCTAGGTAATAAGGGATCTTGGCTAGATAGGCACTGAGTCCCAAATGCTTCCAATGTTTGGGTGATAATTTCATGCCATGTTCTATTCTGGGGGCCTGTGATAGATCAGTGAGAAAAATGGAAACGTGCCTGCCCTCTGGAATTTACATTCTTGTGGAATGAAATAAATGTGAAATAAATGATGAAATATTAAATTTGGCAAGCAATGATAAATGCTATGGAAAATTAAAACAATAAGGTTCTCTCTCTCTCTCTCTTTCTGTGTGTGTGTGTGTGTGTGTAAGAATGTTTCTGCTGTATGTAAGATGTTCAAAGAAAGGTCATCAGATATGGCCACAGTTGAAAAAGAACGTGAAAGAAATGAAGGACAAACTTTATAGGTATCTAAACGAGTGATTTCTATTTAGAGAAAACCCAAATTCTAAGACTCTAAGATATGAGCTCGCTGGATCTTAGCAGCAAGATGGAGGCCAGTATATCTGGGGAAGTTTAGTAGTATGTACTTGCCTTTATGGAGCAAAACATTAAAAACCATATGAGAAAAAAATGTGTCTATTTCTACAACAAAAAAAAATAGTATAAGATGCTGTGGTTTGGACACTGTGGTCCCACCAAAGGTTCATGTGTTGGGAGTTTGGTACCAGGATAGTGGAACCTTTAAGAGGTGGAGCCTAATGGGTGGTCATTACATCACTGGGTACACCTTCATTTGCCCTTCACCATGAGGTTCTTACTGTGGCATGCTGGGTAGACTTTCAGCTTTCAAAACTATGAGTTATAGAAACCTCTTTTCTTTAGAAAATTATCTTGTGAAAGCAATTTTGGTATAGTCATGCCAAGTAGATTAATACAAGGTAAAGTTATATGCTGTAAAGAAGCCTAAGTCTTATATTGTGATTGCAGAAGTAAAGGGGGCTCGGAATCATAGAAAGCCAGCATTTGTTTCTCTGATCCAAGAGTTTCCTTTCCATTCAACTGTAAAATATACTGTGGTTTTGTTTGTTATTATTTTTGTTTTGTTTTGACATGGGGTCTTGTACATAGCCTAGGCCAGTCTTGAACTGACTACAAAGCTGGTTGTTCTCAAACTCTTATCTCTGCTTCCCAAATGCTGTTTTTCAGTGCTCCAAGAATTGAGGCCAATGCCATCATGCCTGGCTGCTATTTTCAAATTATATAATATGTGGATAATACTAATATGAAAAAGATGGAATCAGAATACTCTGGTTGAAGTCCAGGTGGGAAGGTTTAGTCTTCTCAACTTAGTCTTACATTTTCTTGTCTCTGCCCACTGAGCTACCTTCATGAACGCCTAAGAAACAGTTTCTGAATGGCTTGTCTGCTAAAATGAGCTCACTCTACTAAAGAGGAATCTGAGGTTCATCCAGGGAGTGTTTGACATCTAGTTAGGCAAAGTCCCTCTGGTCATCTGTGCTAGCCCCTGCAGCTCACAGATCTTATTTTAGTGTCCATCCCATAAGTTCTCACCTTCTTATTTTGACCCCAGGCCTAACTGAGCTGGAACTCCTTGGCATGCCACTCCACAGGATGCCACCCCAGAACAGCTGTTTCTCCCCGCTCCTAGCCAAGGCTGGGTGGAGTTGTCTGGGGAGCTGCAGTATAAGGCTCACCACCTCCCCAGCACTAATTCCAACTGTGGGAGTAATGTATTTCTGATTTCAAGAGCAATGTAACACAATTGGAACAAGGAGGTCCTTGGTCAGATCTGCATTTAAAATTAGATTTTTGAGTACAAGGTAAGACCATTACCTTGAAAGTGGGATTCTACTGGGACTAACATACCCCTTGAACACACAGAGACCATGACAACGAAACTTCCATGCATATACACACTGAAAAGGCCAAACATATTCTTGATTTCATGCCTTTATACATAATGTCCTTCTTAGCTTAAAGCATCATCGTTTTGGCAACTTCAACTCATCCTTCCAAGAAGCTAAATTCTATCCCTCTATAACATTTCCTCCCCAAGCTCTGTCAGAATCAATTAGCCTTCCATCTGTTTTTCCAAATTACCTTCTACATACATTCATTATAACTCTTATCTTATTACGTTAGAAAATAGAGGGTTGGAGAGACAGCTCAGTGGTTAAGAGTACTGACTGTTCTTGCAGAGGACCCAGCTTCAGTTTCCAGCACCCACATGGCAGCTAACAATTGTTCATAACTCCAGGTCCATGGAAATTTGACACCCCCTTCTGACCTCTATGGGCATTGCACAACACGGGTGCACTCACACACAAGCAGACAATACACTCATACACATCAAATAAAAATAACAAAATATTAAATTTTTTAGAATGAAAAATAGGGTTACACATCTTTCCCACTGACCCTGAGCTACTCTGTAGATAGGAACTGGATCTTAGAAACACATCTTACCCATGATTAGATGCCTCAGCTGCCATTTGTGCAATATT